AAAAATTATATATGTACTTGATAAGTACAAAATTTATGTACTGTGCTAAGAACTTAGGAGTGAACTACCAACACAGTGCATTGGTTTTCCTACTTTACACATTTGAAATCATCAACCAATCATTGTTAGAACAGCATTAGAAACCTGGAAGCACTGGACGGCCGTTTCGTCCTGGTATGGGACTCATCAATAGCAGTGCGCATCCACGACTCCTGCGCCTTGCAGGATTCGAACTCGGGACCTTTGGCATTGTAGGTGAACGCCTTAACATCGGACCACTGGACCGGCATCCAACGGTGTTGCGCCACTTTTGAATCTTATATACTACTTTTTACTTTCACCATTATTTCTCTAATTTTTACAGTTTATAAATGATGACATGCTTTTTGTCCCTTGCTCTAATTTACTCATTCATATACATTTACTTAACAAACACAAACTAATCATTTTGTATGTATACAGTTGTATATGTGAATCCAAATTTTCTACTTTTGTAAATAATACTACTGAAATCTTTGTTAGTAGTATCAATATGTAGTAGTTTTCAGTACATCTTCAATAAAAGTATATAAGTAGTCTTATAATTTACTAAAATTTATCACGGTTTTAAATCACCACATATTTTTTTCTTATAATCTTAACAGATCCATCAACACCAATGTCATCATCTGTGTTTCGTATCAAAGGAGAACATTAGAGATTGATGAATCAATGATATTCACATTGGCTGTTGGAATACTTTCGAAAAAGAATATCCCTATTTTTTTTGTTTTTGTTGATTTGTACACTCACAAAAGACCATTACATCATTTTGATTTTCTTTTCTTTGATAACACACACTCACACACACCAATGAAGACGCAGAATCTCCCCTTCGACTATATATTGATTTCCAAACACTTTTTACTTGTTTGTACAATTAGAAAAAAAACATGCTCAATCAAGTAAGTATATGATCAAGTAGACTAGTTAAATTTGATGATGATTACTTGAAACTGTTTGTTTCTATCTATCTTTCTTTCATTATGTGATAATTAATTGCACAGAGTTTTGCTTTTCTTTCATGCTATTTTCGAAGTTTCAGACAGAAATTTCTGATGAATAACTACTACTGTATGTTCGATTCGATTCGATTCGACTTGATTTTTTCTCCTCTTTCTACTTTGTTTTTTGGAATTTTGTGTATGTATCATTATTATTTCTTTGTTTGATTTTTTTGTTGTTGTATGTTTTATACAGTTTGTTTTCTGTTTTGATAGAATAAATAATATCACTAGCAGATGATCATGATGATCAAGTTATTAGTATTAAAGTTTATATGATGATGATTATGATGACTTTTTGTTCATTGTTTACATGACTTACTTTCGGGTCTGCTGACCCCCGCCCCAAATGGGAGCAGCATAGGCCACCGACCAGTATACTCCGATCTCAGTTAGTTAGAACATAGATCTTCGTACTTACGTAAATCAGTTCAGTGTTGCCGTGACACATTAGCCAAGGAGACGCAATTGTCAGTTAAGATTCCATTGACAGTAATGGAGAAGATTAGGGTTCGTAGATAAGATTGGAGAAGTATGATTCAGTGAGATAAGTTTAGAAAGCGAAAGATAGAGATGATAAGGAATCCAGAAGGTTAGAATTTGAGAGAACACAATGAATGAATGCACCTTCGCAATTGCGAAACATAGTTCGTCGAAGTAGACGGTGGTTGGGCATACGTAACACATGTCCAAACCACCTCAACTGAAGAAGTTTCACTTCTTCATCTATTTAGCTGCCATCCTTACGTAGTACTAGTTTCTTATCTATAACATCGCTTACTCGGTTGTCCCACGATATACGAGCAATACTTCGGAGACACCTGTACTAGAAAACCAGTAACCTAAGAATATCTTTTACTCTTACTGCCTTTGTCTTGTATCGATATAATGGGACAAAGCGAACTGCTGCGTAGTTCACTCATCCTTTGTTTAGCAAACGGATATATCGCCTACGCCATAGGTGACACAAGTTAGCAAACGCCAATCGAGATTTCTGTATCCGTGCTGAGATTCCATCAGTCACCAGGCCATCAGCACTGATGAGGCTCCCAAGATAAGTGTAGCAGTCTACACACTCGACTACTCCATTCCCTATCACTAGTTCAGGTGCCGATGTACGCCAATCTTGAAGCATCAGTTTGCATTTCGAGGGGGAAAAGCACATTCCGAACATGTTTGCATTGTTGCTTAGGGTACTCAAGAGACGCTGCATTTTTATCAGCGTCTTCACCAAGTAGCACTATGTCGTCGGCATATTCTAAGTCAACCAATGAATCTCCTGGTAGAAGGTCTACTCCTGAAAATTCAAACGAAGATGATTTTATATCTAGGAACATGTCTATAACAAAATTAAACAAGAGTGCGGAAAGTGAACAGCCCTGACGGAAACCACTTGAAGTAAAGAATTCCAATGACAGTTCTCTATAGGCTCGATCTCGACCAGTGGTGTTCCAGTAGAGACCATGTATACGGTTAATGTACTTCTCTGGCATACCTTTGAATGAAAGACACTGCCACAGAACATCACGATCAACAAAGTCGAATGGCGCTTCAAGGTCGAGAAATACTACTACTGTGGAGCGTCTGAACGTGTATCTTTGTTCTAGGACCTGACGTAGTGTGAATATCCGGTCTACACATCCACGTCCAACCTACTCTGTGCTAGGCGGCTCAATCTAGTCGTACAACTTTTGTTCATTTTTTCTAATCTGTCTCTATTTCTCGGCGTACTGTATTCTTCAGCCTTCCTCTTTTCCTTTGACTTTGAGGGCTTGTCTTGTGACGCATTTGGGGACTTTCCGTAATGTGTGCCTTATCCACTTCCAGATTTCCTCCTCCGCTGGAATCTAGTTCGTTCTATCCCACAGCGTTGTTGCTGACGGTTTCTGGCCAACGGATCCACCTGGAGCTACTGCCGATTCAAAGCCTGGATAGAGCAGGAGGGTTGGCGACCCCGTCCCGTAGAAAAAGAACTCTCTAAATAAAACGCTAACCATAAAAAATGACTTAAACTCTGCCCTGAGAGTTACAAGGTCTTTATTCATGATGAAAGCTATGTTCCTTTAGAAGTCACGAGGCCGATGCCCCTTCAGACAACCAGTGCAACCATTCTTATCAGTACATGAAATAGCAAGCACTAGATGATCATGTCATATATTGCTTCTGTTAATTTTACGTAATGAAAATCCTGCGGAAAGTAAAGGGATTCATGATGACATCCAGTAATTTTTACAATGGAAAATATTATTTCCATTGTTATATTACAAAATCGTCTGACAAACCTGATATTTTGCTAAACAGTAATGAGAAGTTAGAGTTCAATTCTTGATTCACAACTGCAGAGGTTCCCAGTTATGAGTTTGTGGTAGATATGGGCTTACCAATTCTGTGGCGGTCAGTATTTGATATAATTCCTTAGACTTCGAACACTACTTGTCCTAATAACCGTTAGAACATAACACCCAACGGTGTATAAATCAGAAGACGAATACGACGAGTTGATGAAGTGTATTATCGTGCCACATACAATCACGAAACCGCAGACATAGGAAGCAAAAATGATATGCGAGTGAGTGAGCGGACGAATGAACAGGATTACACATGTACACAATGATACAGATAATTTATTGCTATACAAATGACTGTCTGTTAAGTAATAAGTTAAAAAGGGCTTAACCAAATTAAATGTAAACAAACTCAAATGTATGTGAGGTGCTAAAAGCTGTCTTGCACAACTAGCTCCTGAATAATTTATGTAATTACAAACTTAACATGATGTCGAGGTTATTCACGGACAAAAATAGAACTTCCCAGTGAAGTTTCATTTGGTTCAGATAGAAGCAACTTGAACTTCTCCCCTTACAATCAACAGCTTATTCTGATAACATTGATTAGTTGTCAGTCAGTCAGTTGTAACGTAGAACTTCGTACGTATGTAAATCAGCTCATGTTGCCATACCACATTAGCACAGAGACGCAAATGTGAAATCAAATCCCTTAGTGATAGCGATAGTAGAGGTATTAATGGTAACGAAGAAGAGTAGGGTTTGAAGATATTATTCAAAAAGTATAATAATTCAGTGAGATAAAGTTAGAAAGACAAAGGTAAAGAGGGAGCACAAGGAATGGATGCACTTGCGCCATTGCAAACGATTTTGAGCCATGTCGTTCAAGGTCTCTAACCATCAGTTACTGTTGTCTGCAGGAGCCCTACCAGGCAGCCCACATCTACCAACATGACTCAGTCCACTTGTCAGTGACTTCATAGATTTCTGTCATGTTTTGGTTTGGCCACCGCTTTCTTTAAACCTACTCCTGCTACGCAAAACATAGCTCGTCGAGGCAGTCGGTGGTTGGGCATTCGTAACACATGTCCCAACCACCTTAACTGATGAAGTTTCAATATTTCATCAGTTGATTTGCCAGTACTCGTTTCCTAACGACAGCAATGCTTACTCGGTTGTCCCACGATATACGAGCAATGCTTCTAAGACATCTATAATCGAATACTAGTAACCTACGAACATCTACTCTTAACGGCCATGTTTCGCATCCATATAGTAGAACGGAGCGAACTGCTGCACAGTACACACGTCCTTTGGTTAGCAAACGGATATATCGCCTACGCCATAAACGGCGTAAATCAGAAATAGCAAATCGAGCTTTCTGTATCCACGCTGAGATTTCGTCAGTCACCAGGCTATCAGCGCTGATGAGACTCCCCAGACAAGTGAAGTGATCAACACGCTCGACTACTTCACTCCCTATCACTAGTTGTTGTGGTCCCTTGTTTTGTTGTTATTTATGAAAATGGAACTACTTACTATTTACTAGTATTCACAACAATCTTGTCCACATTTGCTTGGAGCACATTTAATCCACTTTAAGGTTGAGCGGTGAATTTTCTTAAAACATAGAGCTTACGAAAAATGATCTCGGAAAAAAGCCTTAGGAGAATTAGTCCCGCAATCGATATTCATCAGTAATCTGAAAGTAAATGTAATAACACGAGTAGCAAATCTTAACCGACCAATTCCTAACCATTTACTTTGATATCGTTTTCGTAAATTGCCCTAGTCGGTTAATATTTAGTTATACATTTCGAACGATCTGATCACACATATACTTTTAAATGCATGTTTGCCCAGTGTAACACAAATGAGGCTTGGTTGAATGCCTCCTCTCAATAGAGCACAACGAATATGCACCACAGATACATTTGAAGACGATGCCAAATTCTTGACTGAAACATTGATTTTAAACGGTTAATAGGTGTAAAAGTCAGTTAAGACAAAAGCCAGACTTCTGTTTTGTTGAATAGAAAAATGTTTCAATCTTTTTACCATTTAGAGGTGAATCAAAAGTGTTATTCTTAAGGTAGAGACTAAAAGCAGCCGTCTACAGAACATACTGCGCTGCTAAACTGATTGTAATCGAAAAGACTAAGCCCATGATCCCATATAGGCCTAGATATTGTTCGGACGGTTATATTACATCTCATTGCATATATCAATTTGTGTGGACACACATACGTCGGGCTTTGCAAACAAGGGTTATGGAATATGTACCTAAGTGGCTTCAAAATCAGTTAACTTCAGATGATCTGATAAACGTGGGAAACAGAAAACCATGTTCATCGATAACGAAACACATAGTTGAGACAGGGAATAAGATTGACATCAAGACATTGTATAAAAACGTTGAAGGACGAATTTCGAGGTTTGTAGGAGCCTTGGCTTTTAGTAAATTAAAACCTACCCTCATGTATACAGAAACAATTTGTTATAACCTTGAATTCACCCTAGTATTGTTTAAGCAATTTTACGGCTTATGGTAATGTGACTATTTCTTATCCTTAACATATAACATTAATTTTTTTTCTCCTTTATTTACAATTATCAGCTTATGTCTATTTGAACTTTTATTAACTTTCATGTAAAATGCCTTGACAGGAATCTGTGTGAACAGATTGTTCGAAATGTATGACGCAAATACATTACATTTTTCAAATTAATTACGTCTTCTGACTGTTCTTTCATAATACTTAGTTAATGAAATCTAGTAAAATTGAAAATCAGACATTGGTTTTGTAGCTGTAGATCACTATGTAGTCTTTTACCTCATGACCACAGTGGTCTTTGATCTTACCGCAACTTTTTCATACATTATAGGAAATTAAAGCCAGCACATTCAAACACACTATATAGCCGCAACCCCCTCGAAATGCAAAATGTTGCTCCAAGACTGGGTTGCATCGGCACCTGAACTAGTGATAGGGAGTGAAGTAGTCGAGCATGTTGATCAGTTCACTTATCTGAGGAGTCTCATCAGCTCTGATAGCCTGGTGACTGACGAAATCTCAGCACGGATACAGAAAGCTCGATTGGGTTTTGCCAACCTGCGTCACTTAGGGCGTAGGCGTGATATCTGTTTGCTAACCAAAGGATGGGTGTACTGTGCAGCAGTTCGCTCCGTTCTACTATATGGATGCGAAACATGGCCGTTAAGAGTAGATGTTCGTAGGTTACTAGCATTCGATCATAGATGTCTTAGAAGCATTGCTCGTATATCGTGGGACAACCGAGTAATCAATGCTGTCGTTAGGAAACGGGTGCTAGGTAAGGATGGCAGATCAATAGATGAAGTGGTGAAACTTCATCAGTTGAGGTAGTTAAGACATGTGTTACGTATGGCTGACCACCGACTGCCTCGACGAGCTATGTTTTGCGTAGCAGGAGTAGGTTTAAAGAAAGCGGTGGCCAAACCAAAACATGTCAGAAATCTATGAAGTCACTGACAAGTGGACTGAGTCATGTTGGTAGATGTAGACTACCTGGTTGGGGTGATCGAGACGAAAGTCACCAATGGTTAGAGACCTTGAACGACATGGCTCAAAATCGTTTGCAATGGCGCAAGTGCATCCATTCGTTGTGCTCTCTCAAATCCTAATCTTCTGGATTCGTCAGCACCTCTACCTTTGTCTTTCTAACTTTATCTCACTGAATTATTATACTTCTTGAACAATATCTTCAAACCCTAGTCTTCTTCATTACCATTAATACCTCTACTATCTTTATCACTATGAGATTTGATTTGACATTTGCGTCTCTGTGTTAATAATGTGGTATGGCAACCTGGACTTATGTACATACGTACGAAGTTCTACGTTGCAACTGACTGACTGATAGAATTGGTATAACTGTATTTTGCAATTTTTAAAACAACATCCTAGGAGTAACAAAAAAAGGCCAAGACCGCAAAAAAAAACAAAGAATGAATAACACAAAAATGAAATCATAATTGACACCACTTTATTTTAGACCAAATGACAAAAAAAGTAAGTAAACAGATAAAAAAAATCATCATCGTTCTCCAATCGACCTGTCTGGCATGGTAGGACCTGCTGGAACATATGTTCCAGCCAGTATAGCTCGGTTGGGTCATCACGATAGTCAAGCCCGACCACCACGTCAAGGTAGCAGCTACGGTCGGGGAATAAGATTTACATCAAAACAGCCTTCAAGACATTACATAGAAACGTTGAAGGACGAATTTTGAGGTTTGTAGGAGCCTTGGTTATTTGTAAATTAAGACCTCCCCTCATGTATACAGAAACAATTTGTTATAACCTTGAATTTACCCTGGTAATCTTTAAGCCATTTTATGGCCTATGGTAATGTTTTAGTGAAGGAGAACACAGGTGAGGGCAACCAAATTGTATTTAACGAAAATTACAGAGTTACTCAGTAAAATAGGAAAACCATATCGTAACCGTTAATTTGCAGATCTTCAACCCATCATCAATCCATTGTCTGACATTTCACTATTCATGCGTTTCATACAAATTCCATTGTGTTCCCACTCTTCCTTTCTTGATCTTCCTCCATCTTCAGCTGCCAGACATTACGTTTACACTCGCGTCATATACTACTTTTAAGTAGGGCGCACCATAATGTGACAATTTTCCTACCCTTTCTAATCCTTTCTACAGTACGTTAATTTTCTCCCTTCTTTATTTAGAATTAACACCTTATGTCTATTTGAACTTTTATTTCATTGAAATTTATTAATATTCATATAAAATGCCTTGATAAGAATCTGTGTGAACAGATTGTTCGAAATGTATGACGCAAATACATTACATTTTTCAAATTAATTACGTCTTCTGACTGTTCTTTCATAATATTTCGTTAATGAATTCTAGTAAAATTGAAAATCAGACATTGGTTTTGTAGCTGTGGATCACTATGTAATCTTTTACCTTATAACCGCAGTGGTCTTTGATCTTACCGCAACTTTTTCATACATTATAGGAAATTAAAGCCAGCAAATTCAAACACACTACATAGCCATATCGAATAACTTGCAACAACAGAATTGGT